TTGCTCCCTGAAAGCAAAATTAGGTTAACAGAGGGAAGAGAATGGAGCAGGCATTGGGGTGAGGGAGGGTGGAGAGAGAGAGGAGTAAGAGGGAAGCCAGACAAGTGTACTGACTAACAAATGAAAAGAGACACAAAGACTGAATTAAGTAAAAAGAAAAACAGCTACAACTACAAACTAACCAACAACCATATGAAAAAACGAAAACATACAATGATGCTAGCCACAAGCTAACCAACCTCCTTACTGGTGTGCTATTCCTCTATACAAAGATGGGGTTTACAGAGAAATAAAAATAAGAAAAGAACAAAGCAAAAGGAATAGAATAAAGTTAGTAAACTAACAGAACCATCCAAGCACACTCTGAGACTTTTCCTTAAGTCCAATGTCCTTTCAGCTCGATTTCTAGCTTTCTTTGCAGGCTGGTAGATTTGTTCATAGTTAGGGTCAGCTGCCCCTGGCCTGCTGTGGAGAGTGGTTCAGATCTGGGCTCCCTGCCGAGTCTTATCACTCAGATCTGGCCTATGTCTGTTTATGAAGAGGGAAGAGATTCTGTCTTTCCCATTTTGATGTTGTTACCTTGGAACCCCAGCAGGTGGTGCTATCTCACCGCTTTAGTTGATCTTTATTCACAGCAGCTGGAGACTGCCAGGCAATCCAGGCTGGGGCTGGCAGCAGTTGGAGGCATCCCAGGATGGGAGGGAGCAGGCAACGGTAGCTGCAGTGGGGGCAACTTCCTCACAGTACATGGAAGGCTCTCCACAAGCCTGGCTTGGGGCGAGGACTGGGGTGTGGCAGTGGCCGTGGGTGCGATCTCCATAGATTGTGCTTGTGGGGGATTCACACCAGGTCCGAAGTCGTGGGTCGCCTCAGGCTGGGCGGGGCGATGGCATCCAGGGCAGTGGCGGTAGCCCAGACTGCCGAGGTGTTTGAGCGGTGACGGTGTCTGAGCTCCGTGTGATGAGCAGGCTGCCGACAACGGGAGCTGCAGCCCCTGGGAGTGAGCTAGAGTCTTTATGTGTGTTCTCTTTTGTGGAGGGTCCCACAGACCAAGCTGCCCCATCGCCCTCCTGCCAGAAGCCCCTCCAGTTTCTTTCATCAGTGTCTTGTAGTTCTCTGTGCAGAGATCTTTTACTCACTTGGTTAGGTGTAGTCCTAGATATATATATATATATATATATATATTTTTTTTTTTTTTTTTGGCTGACTATTGTAAATGAGATTGAGTTCATTTTTCCTGGAACTAGAGTAATCAATCTTAAAGTTTATATGGAGTCAATAAAAAAAGCCTGACTAGCCAAAGCATTACTAAGTAAAAGGGATAATTGTGGAGCCATCACACTGACTTCAAATTATGATACAATTAGAATACAAGTAACTAAAACAACATGGTACTGGTACAAGACTAGACAGTTTAATAGAACAGACTAGATAGCCCAGAAATAAAGTCACATACCTACAGCCAATTTATCTTCAACAAAACTGACAAAAATAAACAATGGGGAAAGGACATCCGGTTCAATAGATGATGCTGAGAAAGCTGGCTAGTTGTATGCAGAAGAATAAAACTAGCTACCTGTCCCTCACCATATAAAAATTAGCTCAAGATGAATTAGAGACTTAAATGTAAGACCTGAAACTATAAAAACCATATAGGAGGAACTAGAAAACACTCTTTTGGACATCAACATAGGCAAATAATTTATGATAAAGATGCAAAATGCAGCTGTGACAAAAACAAAAAAAAATAGACAAGTGGGACTTAATTAAACTTCATTGTGAAGTAAATAATCAGCAGGGTGAACAGAAAATCTTTGGAATGGAAAAATATATTTGTAAATTATGCCTCAGAAAAAGGACTAATATCCAGAATCTACAAGGAACTCAACTTGACATGAAAATACAAACAACCCTATCAAAGTGGGCAAAGAACATGAATAGAGATTTCTTGAAAGAAGACACACAACTGACCAACAAACTTATGAAAAAAATGTTCACCATCACTAATCATCATAGAAATGCAAACTGAAGCCACAATGAGATATCCCCTTACATCAATCAGAATTACTATTATTAAAAAGTCAAAGAACAACAGATGTTGGTGCAGTTGTGGAAGAAAGGAGACACTCATAAACTATTGTTGAGATTATAAATTAGTTCAACTTCTCTGGAAAACAGCATGCAGATTTCTCAAAGAACTATAAATTGAATTACTACTTGATTCATTGATCTCCCTACTAGTAATCTATCCAAAGGAAGTCATTGTATAAAAAATACATTGTACTCGTGAGTTCATTGCAGCACTATTCACAATTGCAAAACCATGGACTCAACATAATTGCCTATCAATGATTGACTGGATAAAGAAAATGTTGTACATATACACCATAGAATACTATACAGCCATCAAAAATATAGAAATCATGTCCTTGCAGCACCATCAGTGGAGCTGGAGAGCATCATTTTAGGTGTACTAATTCAGAAACAGAATACCAAACACGAAATGTTCTTATTTATATGCAGGAACTAAATGGCCACAGAGATGGAAATAATGGACACTAGGGACATCAGTAAGGAGTAATGTGGGGAGGGGTATAAGAGTTCAGAAATTACCTATTGGGCACAATGTTCACTATGTGGAAATGGGTCACTTGAGACCCAGTCCCCACTACTACACAAGATGTCCATGTAATAAACATGTGCTGTATACTACCTGAATCTTAAAAAAAAATGCTTTGCTCTCAAAATGTAGCAGAATACAATGGGAGTGCTAACAGTTGAGACTGAGAGTTTGAATTGATCAACTTTGCTTTCTCATCACTCAGAGAAGTTCTCAGGACTTCTCATCAGGGAGTCTCCTTCAAGGTACTAATGTGAACTCTGGCACTTGGAGAAAGTTGACTCAGCCTGGGAGGGTTATCTGACTTATGTGAGGTCACTCTGATTCTCCTTTCTGGGAATTAGACACAGGGAATGTCCATTCTTCAGTGACCAGATTACTTAATTACTCCTTCTAGACTTGCAAGCCTGATTGACCTAGGAGAGGAGGACAGGACTAGAGAGAATCACACTGGGGATACCCCACTGGTGAGTTAGCATAGAGAATTATCCTGAGCAAAGAAACGTATGAAGGTATGACTCACCTGTGAAAGAGGGAGAGGAGATACTTTGCATTCAAATATTGTAAGGCCCCCTATGATGAAAGATTAATCATGTCCCTCCTCTTGGACTGAAGATGAACGAAGATGACTGTTGTAAGATTTAAAGAACCCTTTCCTTCAAATCCGTACAGTTTAAGCGAATCTGAACTGTTGATCCATGGAATTAAAAAATATATACTTAAAAGACCTCAAGCAAGTCAAGGCCACTGTCACCCTGGTGAGCCAGGTGGACAGAGAATTGAGACTAAGAGATCATTCTTGAGACTTAAAATCGAATGTGATTTGCCTTGCTAGGTTTTTCATTGCTTGGCATCCATGATCCCTTTTGTTTTTCTTGTTTCTCTTTCTTGGAATAGAAATATCTATCCTGTGTCTGTCTCATTGTTATATTTTGAACAGAGATTACACGTCCGGTTTTATAGGTTAGCAACAAGAGAGGAGCTTTGGCTCAGGGTGACTCACACCTCAAGTCTCACCCATTCTTAGTGAGACTTAAGTGATAATTAAATGAGACTTTGGATGTAGAGTTGACAGTGGAATGGATGAAGACTTTTGGGTTTTTCAGATGAGGTGCGTATATTTTGCATGTGAGAAGGACATGAGCGTGTGGGGAAGAGATGACGGAGTGTTATGGGCTGGAGGGTATTCCCCTAAATTCATAGGTTGAAGTACTAAACTTCAGTGCCTCAGAATGTAATCATATCTCAGTGTAAAGTCTTTAAGTCAAAATGAGGTTTATAGTCATCCATAAATCCAATATAACTGGTATCCTTATAAGAAGAGGAAATCTGGATATAGACAGGTGAACACACAGAGAGAGCATTAAAGAACAATGGATGATTACAGGGCACCAGTTACACATTAGACATTATGCTATATTATTTTCTGCCATATAATTTTTATTCATGTAAGTCAAGAGTATATCATTTATATTTATATAACATTCTGTAGCATCAATTAATTAAATTAATATATTAGTATCATATGTAAATATTAATATATGTGATATATGAAATAATTATATGCTCATATACTTAAGAGTATGACTTCTGTTGTTAAAATCTTTGGCCTTAAATCTGCATCCATCACTTTAACTGTGTACTTCTCCAGGCCTTTTCTTCCCTCTCGTAGATGGAATGGAGATAATATTAGTACATCTTTCATTCTTTTATTATCCTTTTAATAAATATTTCTTGAGTACATATTATATGTCTGTCACTCTTTGAAACACTAGTTCTTGGGCAATTTAAACAATGCCAGAAAGGAAATACATAGAGACTTTCTGTGCAAAGAGTGTTGGAAGTAAAATATAACAAGGATGTGGATGGACAGTTCTAAACTGGGAGGTGAGAGAAAACCTCACTGTGAAGACTTGAAGGGGCAAGTGGGAAAGAAATGGAGGGATCTGTTTTCAAGGGATCGCGAGGGCCGCCATGATAAAAGTAACTTATACAGGAGAAAAATCATAAGTAGAGAGACAAGTTACAAGTCTGTGATAATAACCCAGGTGACAGATGATGTTGGCTTGGTCACGGAGGTGGTGAGAAGTGGCTAGAGTCTGGACGTATTCAAAGATATACTCGCATTATTGCTGATTAACTGCAAATGGGAGGGCCAGGAGAGAAGAAAAGATAGGGAATCGTTTTCAGGCAGGTAGAAGTGTGAATGAGTATGTTGCCAGCCAGTATAATGGCTCACCAATGAATGATTGCTCATTCTGCTACATTGGCTACAATGGCCATGTCATATGGACAATAAGAACAGAGCAAGGAGGAGGTGTGTTGGGGTCTTAAGACCCATTCTTCTATCTGACTTGAGTCTCTGTTTCATGTTTTCCAGGCATGTCTGGTGACTGGAAAAATCACTTAACAGTGGCCCAAGCTGAAGCCTTTGATAAACTATTCCAGGAGAAGATGACAGATCTTCCTCAAGAGCTGTTGCCATGGAAATAATGTCCAACACATTCTGGATCATACATGGATACTAATATTTGCTCTCCTTTCCTGACTGAGGGCCTATGTATAACATATATTGTTTCATCCCAGAGTCTTAAATTATCATATATTTTCATCTTTGACTACTTTTTTCATTCAAAATTACCAGGGCACCCCTATGCATGCTATGGCATTCCACAACCTTTATGTGTTTGTAATATTTCAAACATATAGAATTGTATAGAAATAATATACATTTTGCCTGAAAGTGTATTTGAACTTAAAAAAAAATTTTTATTATAAAGATGTGGGGTACAATTCAGGGTTAGGTATACAGACATTGACTATGCAGGTACTCCTGTTGATGAGGTATGCCCCTCCCTCCCCTAGCAGTTTCCCTCAACTGCCAATCCCACCCCCCTCACTGACAGTTTCCCATTACAGCTGATCACTTTCTTATAGCATTATAATTGTTCAAGGTCCTCTTACAAATTTTTTAAATAAAAATAAAAAGTTAATGATTACATTGATAGACTTTAGAGCAAATAATAATCAAAATAAAATGACAGAAGCAATCAAGACTCTGTTTCTTTTTATGACATGTATCTCCACAATGTATTATTCTGATCTTGAGGTGTATGAGTCCCAATCTAGTTTATTTTCTTACTCAGTCTTGTTTGACCATAAACAGAAAATGGTATTTATAAATGTTCTTAAAAACTTTACAAATGGCACATGGTGCCATGTATTCATTGACTTATACTTCTTCTCAGCTTTTTATGCTTGGTTTCCATCCATGCTGATGTTGACTAGTTTATTATTTAGTATTGAAATGTATGATGATATTATTTAATTACCTCTTCTCCTATGAATAACTTTGGGTTTCTTCTCACCATTTTTTCCTATTTAAAACATTGCTTTGGGCCACCACTGCCCTTGCCCTCCCCCTGCAAAGCAAGTGCAGGTCATAGGGTCACCGGGTCCCCCCTCTGAGGGCAACTGCAAGCCCCCACTGCCCTGAAATTAGAGCGCAGCTTGCAAGATCATGCACAGAAATGTCTGCTGCCTATGGGAACGTGCCTGAGAAAAGCCTGCTGAATCCAGCTGATTCCCAGTGCCTGGCACCAGGTGCACACCATCACCTGTCATACCAATCCACTAGAGTGCAGGATCAGATTATTGGAGAGAGAGCATCAGGGAATCCCGAGAGGAGTCCATGCTTGGTGAGGTGCCGCCAACCAAAGTCATTTTCCAGGCAGAGATTTGCATTGCCCCACCCTGCTCCCCTGCAGCCTCAAATTTGTTGCCTAAGGGGCATGGACAAACTATTGCCCCTGGTGCTCCCAACCACTGAAGTAGGAGAGAGACTGCTCCTGGCTTTGCCTCACCACTTCAGCACCTGGTAGGGAGCTGGAAGGGGCTGCGGACTGGAGTTCAGAGATCCAGTCTCTGTGGATGGCAGTCTACTCAGAGCTTGATCATAGTCCAGAGGAAATATCCTGAGAGCACAAACTTCAGAGGGACCTGATGAGTGCTGAGTTCCAGGCGCCCCACCCCTTACCCTGATCCAGCTGTGGGGCAAGGTTGTGGCCAGAAAAGGATGAGGAAGAACTCCAAAGAGATCAGTGGTGAGTCCTGGGCTGACCCAAACCCCCTCCTCCCCAGCAATCTTCTGAATGTCAGACCCACACAGCTGGGCCATGACTGAGAGGGACAAACCCAGACAGAGCCTGGACATCAATCACAATAGGAGAACCCCATTCCAGGATAGGCCTGGCTATGGCAACCTTGTGAGAGTACATACCTGGGGAAGAGACTATCCTGTACATCCCCACCAGAGCTCTCCCTGACCATACGAGAGTGGGAGGGGAGGACTGCAGCCCCACCCACCTCCACTGCCCTCCTCCTTCCCTGCTTCATTCCCTGAGGAGAGAGTGAAAGAAGTGGCTCTGCAGGAGAGATCTCATTAGAGGAACAATTGCAGAGCCTACCACAAGGGGAGAGGTTGTGTTTTTTTTTTTTAGTTCTGTTTTGTGTTTTAGATTTTCAATTTTAAAAATTTTCTATTAGTTCATCTATTTAAAAAATATTTTTCCTTTGTGCATGAATGTGTATGTGAGACTTTGATCTGCATCCCCCACAAATTTTTTTCTTTTCCGTTTCTTCTTTTATTTGTCATTCTCTGTTTGTGTGTGTATGTGAATGATTGAGTGTTCATCTTTTGTTGTTGGTTTTTACTCCTTTGTTCTTCTGGGTATTTTAAAAAATATTCATTTTTTTATAGTTTAAGGGGTGCGTCAATATATGTGCGAAGGTTCCACCTGAATCCCCTTTTATCTTTTCCTTTTTTTTCTTTTTTCTTATTCTCCCCCTTTGGTCTTTTTGTCTTTATTCTCTGTTCACTTTGTGCTAGGCATGTGTGTGTGTGTTTAGCTTTCTTGGGGTCTTTTTTGTGTGGTTTGTTTTGTTTTGCCTTTTTGTTATTCCAGATTGTTTTGTAGTGTGTGTTGGTTTCTGCTTTGCATCATCATATAGAGTGGTGGTGGGGAGTGGATCTCAGGGAACACATATCACAATAAGTAAACATTTTAATTTGTAAGTAGCATCTGATTCCTAGTGCCCCATCCCCTACTCTACTTGGATTTCAAAAACTACAAGAGATAGCAAATCTTCCCATCCATCATCCTATTTCAAAATAGAACAAATCCAGAGTCCGGATCAGGGAAGAATAGAGGGCTGAGAAACATCAGAAGGGAAGCCTATCCCACTGACATCGAATAACAGAACTAAAGAAAAAAACAAGAGATCTGTCACAAATGAGGAAAAACCAAAGGAAGACCTCAGGCAATTCCAAGCCTACCAAAAACAAATCTCCCGAGAAATCAAACCTTGGTGCCCAAACTATGGAAGTCATCAATGAATGGCCCCAGAATATGACAGGGATTAGGGTATGGTTGGAAAGAGTGAATAAGACTCAAGAAAGACAAGATGCTACACTGAAAGAACTTATAACAGAGATTCTGGCAATAAAAATTTTCTTCCAGGAAATAAATAACAAGGTGACAAGCATGGAAAGCAGAATTAATCTACCTGAAGAAAGAATCTCAGAACTTGAAAACCAGAACATGGAATTAACCTGATCTGTAAAAAACATAGAAGACTCAGAAAGAATAAAGCCTACAAGAGATGTGTGATTATATCAAGAAGCAGGACCTATGCCCAATTGGTATCCCAGAAGGAGAAAGGGAACATGAGAACAACTTGGAACAAGTATTCCAGGAGGTAATCCAAGAAAACTTTCCCCATCTCACCATAGATGTGACCAGCCAAGCACAAGAGATACAGAGAACCTCCACAAGACATCAAATGAGGAGACCAACCCCCAGACGCATAGTAATTTACCTACACAAAGTAGGCACAAAGAAAAAATTCTAAAGGCAGCAAGAGAGAAAGGTCAGACTACCTACCAGGAAAAACCAATCAGAATAGCAGCAGACCTATCGGCAGAAACACTGCAAGCATGAAGGGACTGGAGCCCCATATTCACAGTCTTCAAAGATAAATAATTTAAACCAAGAATTTCCTATCCAGTCAAGCTCAGCTTCATCAGTGATGGAGAATTAAAATCCTTCCCAGACATCCAATCCCTTAGAGATTATGCAGCTTCCAGACCAACTCTACAGGAGACACTTAAAAAGGTCAGAGAAAGCACAGAAGAAAGAAGAAAAAGATTGAGCACACACTTCCCAAGAGAAGAGCAGAGCACAGAATCAGCAGAGAACTCAGCATAAAAGAAACTTGAAAACACAAACATACATTAACCCCAAAGCCAAAAGAAAACAAGCAAACAAAGGAAAAACTTTACAAGAAACTCATGACAGGGATAAACAATCATATTTCAATAATCAGTCTGAATGCACCACTGAAAAGACACAGAATAGCAGACTGGATAAGAAACCATGACCCCATTATTTGCTGCATCCAGGAGACTCATCTCACTTCAAGGGATGCACACAGACTCAAAGGTTGGAAAACAAGTTTCCAGGCAAATGGATCACAAAAGAAGGCAGGAGTTGCAATCTTAATATCAGACAAAGCAACCTTTAAGCTATCAAAAATTTAAAAAGATGTAAAAGGACACTACAAAGTGATAAAAGGTTCAATCCGTCAACAAGAAATATCCATCCTAAACATATATGTATCCAACACAGGAGCACCAGCATTTATAAAGTAACTACAAAGTAAACTAAAAAAAGATATTGATTCTAACACTCTTTTTTTTTTTTTTTGAATTGGAGTCTCACTCTGTTGCCCAGACTGGAGTGCAGTGGCCGCTCCTGGCCACCGCAGCCTCGACCTGCTGGACTCCGGCGATCCTTCCACCTCAGCCTTCCAAGTAACTAGAACTACAGGCACGCACTACCACACCTGGCTAATTTTTGATTTATTGTAGAGATGAGGTCTTATAGCAGGGGACTTGAGTACCCCACTGGCAGCCCAAGATAGATCATCAAGGCAAAAAATCAACAAGGAGATCCAGAACCTAAACTTGACACTCGACCAAATGGACCTAATAGATACCTACAGATTATTCCACCCAACAACCACAGAATATACATTCTCCTCATCACCACATGAACATACTCCATGATCAATCACATCCTTGGCCATAAATCAAGCAGAAACAAATTACATAAGGTTGAAATCTTGCCATGCACATTCTCAGACCACAGTGGAATAAAAATGAATATCAACAACAGCATCGTTTCTCCAAAACCCATAAAGACATGGACAATAAATAGCATGATGCTGAACAACTACTGGGTCAACACTGAAATCAAAGCAGAAATGGAACAATTCCTGGAAACAAATGAAAATGAAGAAACATTTTATCTGGGATGCCCTAAAAGCAGGTGTCAGAGGAGAATTTATATCTCTGTGAGCACACATCAAGAAAATGGAAAGATCAGAAGTTGAGAACTTAGCAAATAACCTAAGGGAGCTGGAATGAGAAGACCACCAAAACCCCAGCTTTAGCAGAAGAATCTAAATCACAAAAATAGGAGCCTAAATATGGGACATAGAAGATAAAAATATCAGAAAACATCAACAAAACAAAAAGCTGGTTCTTTGAAAGAATTAACAAGATTGATGGACCCCTAGCCAGAATGACCAAGAAAAAGAGAGAAAAAACCCAAATAAACACAATCAGAAATACAAAAGGTCAAATCACAACTGACCCCAAGGAAATACAAAAGATTATTAGAGATTACTATGTACACCTATATGGAAACAAACTTGATAACCTAAATGAA